GTTGGGGGCGGGAGGGGGAGACTAAAGGATGACGCTCGAAATAATCTTTGGGCAAGAGCAGAACCTCCGGATGTGAAGGACTGCATCCAAAGTCAACGCTGGTGATTTCAGAACATGCCTAAGCCTACGTTCTGCCAAGGAAGCTTGCGTGGCAAGCCCCCCCCCCCCCCCAATTCCACTCTGACTTTTTCTGTGCATGTATTTTTTTGGGAAGGAGGGGGAGGGGTTAAAGCCTTTAATGTTACAACAATCTGTGTGTCAGGTTGCCAGAGTTCCCAGCTTTCATTTCTTAATTAAAGCAAATCCTTTAGTTGCAGAGAAGCACCTTTTCCATTCTATCTCCACAACAAAAGGGGCTAGAGACTTTTTTTAAAAAATGGAAGCTGTGGATTCAGAGCACCCGACTCACAGATGGTTAGAATGATACTCAGTTGCCAGTTTTTTAAAAAGGCCCCCCTATGTCTGGGGGAGAGTTGCGGTGGCGCAAGTGGTTAAGACGCTGAACTGCAGGCTGTGGAAGGTCGGAAGCGCAGCAGTTCGAGACCCGAGTGTGCCGCATGATGGAGTGAGCTCCCGTCTCTGGCCCCAGCTCCTGCCAACCTAGCAGTTCGAAAGCAAGAAATCGCAAGTAGATAAATAGGGACCACTGCGGTGGGAAGGTAACAGGGTTCCGTGCGCCTTGGTGTTTAGTCATGCCGGCCAGGCCACATGGCCACGGAAACGTCTTTGGACAGCGCTGGCTCTTCAGCTTTGAAATGGAGATGAGCACCGCAACCCTAGAGTCGGCATCGACTGGATCGGATTCGACTGGCTTTCGAGCAAGGGAACCTTTACCTTTACCTTTTTATGTCTGGGGGAATGGTTGCTGTGGGGACAAGGGCAGGGAGAATGCCTGACCTGCAGTTGGCACAACTCTCCTGCCCACACAGTAGCAATCCAGATTTTGCCCCCCCACACACACACACCAGTGTCACAGCAAAGCAGGTTGGGAAAATGAATGGCGAAAAGTTGGGATCCTGTGGGGAACTGAGGGGGGTGAGGATTGCTTCCTAACAGCTTGGAACCCAGGGCAAATAACCAATGCGGAAAAGGTCACACCCTTATCAGCCTGCCTCATCTCTAACCAGTTAGGTTAGGAGTGGTTGGAGTGCAAACTCTAGACTGGGAGGACAGGGTTTGATTCCCCATTCTTCCACAGGCAGCTGCTGGTGTGCCCTTGGGTCAGTCACCGTTCTCTCAAGAGCAGTTCTCGAGAGAGCTCTCTCAGTCCCCACCTACCTCACAGGGTGTCTGTTAGGAGAGCCAGTTTGGTGTAGTGGTTAAGTGTGCGGACTCTAATCTGGGAGAACCAGGGTTTGATTCCCCCCTCCTCCACTCTCACCTGCTGGATGACCTTGGGCAAGCCACAGTTCTGACAAGAGCTGTTCTTGAAAAAGAGCCGTTTCTGTCAGAGCTCTCTCAGCCCCGCCTACCTCACACAGGGTGTCTCTTGAGGGGAGGGGAGGGGAAAGAGATTGTAAGCCGCTCTGAGACTCCCTTGGGTAGTGAAGGGCGGGGTATAAATCCAATCTCCTCTTCTTCCTCCTCCTCGGGAGGGGAAGGGAAAGGAGATTGTAAACCGCTCTGCGACTCCTTCAGGTAGTGAAGGGTGGGATATAAAGCTCTTCTCTTTTAACACAGGAATTTCAGCCCCCCAAGCGACCCTTCAAGCGAATGAACTACGCAGACGCCATTGTGTGGCTGAAAGAACACGACGTGAAGAAGGAAGATGGCACCTACTACGAATTTGGAGAAGTAAGGTGTTGGTGGTAGCTAGTTACTAGACAGTTCAGCATGGATGGGTTTCTGTAGCTGGCCTGTAATGCAGCTGAACGCGGGGGGAGGGGGGGGGCAAGGCATTAAAGCAATGTTGGTGGGGGAGGGTTTAAATACCACCACCACCCAGGACTGTGTCTCTGGCCTGAGTCTCATGCCCATGTAGGCCCCTGGAGCAGCTGCTGTTTTGGTACTTTAATAACAGAAAGGTAGAATAGAAATTTCCTAAAATAAATATTAGCCCTCCTGGGGACCATGTGTGCTTATCTCTTTTGGTGTGTACAGAGCTGGTCTCCAGTCTGGGTGGGAAAGCAAACAGCCTTTGTTCCTCCTTTGCTGCAGTGGTGTTGCCCGGACACAGTCGACAAGGTTACCTGCCGCCCACTTGAGAATATTTTGGGTTCAGGGAGCATTTGACATCTTCTGGGCATGGAGGAGGGGGTCACTGGGGGTGTGTGTGTGGGGGGGGAATCTGTGAATTTCCTGCATTGTGCAGGGGGGTTGGACTAGATGACCCTGGAGGTCCCTTCCAACTCTATGATTCTATGACAGTTTGGGACTGCGGTCAGAAAAAAGGCAGTCATTTGATGGGCATCCAAACACCAAAGAGTAAAGGCCGACATTTGCTGTCTTTGCACACGAAGTGAGCTTGACGTGGTTCAGGGGTCACTTGGCTCTAAGGAAGGGCTTGCAGGGGGTGGGCGTGACCTGATGGGGTCAGGCCATTACCCACCTGCTGGGAGGAGATGGCAGCCGGTGAGCACATAAACCTTGTTCTCAATCACAGGACATCCCGGAGGCTCCCGAGAGGCGCATGACAGATACCATCAACGAGCCGATCCTGTTGTGTCGATTCCCCACTGAGATTAAGTCCTTCTACATGCAGCGCTGCCCCGAGGATTCCCGCCTGACCGAATCGGTTCGTTTGTATTCCTTGCGAGCGAGACATGCAAAATACAAGAAGTTCTGAAGGCATTTCAATGTGTAGGCTTTCTAGTTGCATTTTGTAAATAGGCAGGAATGTGGAGGCTGGGAACTGGTTAGATGGGCCTGGCTGAGTGATGGTCTGGATGGATTCAGAAATCCAGACGTTCCTTAAACCAAGCCGTGTTTTGAGATGGGCGAGGGGCTTTGGCTCTTTAAGGGTCAATTTATTGATTAATTTCCTTATTTAGTTTTCAGATTTTTATTCCGCCCTCCCCAAAGCGGGCTCCGGGCGGATCACAGCAAGCAGAGACTCATTGCAAGAGAATTACATTACATTAAAATAATTAAAATAGTAAAATTCAGAGGTAGCAGCAAATGACATAAAAAGAAAAAGACGGTTAGGGTCATATAGGTAGAATCGTATCTGAAGGACCACCTCTTCCCATATATGCCCCGTATATGCCCCGAAGGGCACTGCGTTGTATGGATCAACACCTCCTGGTTATCTCTGGCCTGAAAGACGTCCATCTTGCCTCGACCAGGGCCAGGGCCTTCCCCGCCCTGGCCCTGCGGGATCGACTTCAATTCCGCAGGCCTGCAAGACGGAGCTCTTCCACCTGGCCTTTGGCTGAGGCAGCGGGCGCCCATCTTTGGCCTCTCTGAGGTGTTCATCATTCTGTTAACAATTACTGGCTATGGCCAGGAACCTCCCGCAGCCAGGGATTTTTAAATTATTATTAGCTGTGACCACCCTTTTAATATTTATGGTGATGTTTTAAATTTTAATGTTATTACATTGACTAATATAGTTGTATAAATGATATGCTGTTACCTGCCCTGAGCCCACTTCTGGGAAGGACGGGCTATACACTTGAGCCACCGCAGCTCCTGCAATAGAATTACATTACATTAAAATCATTAAAATAGTAAAATTCAGAAGTAGCAGCAAATTACTTAAAAAGAAAAAGACTGTTAGGGTCATATCATATCTGAAGGACCGCCTCTTCCCATATATGCCCGTATATGCCCCGAAGAGCACTGCGTTGTATTGATCAACACCTCCTGGTTATCTCTGACCCGAAACATGTCCGTCTTGCCTGGACCAGGGCCAGGGCCTTTTCCGCCCTGGCCCCTGCCTGGTGGAACATGCTCCCCATTGAGATCAGGGCCCTGCGGGATCGACTTCAATTCCGCAGGGCCTGCAAGACGGAGCTCTTCCACCAGGCCTTTGGTTGAGGCAGTGGGCGCCCATCTTTGGCCTCTCTGAGGTGTTCGTCATTCTGTTAACAATTACTGGCTATGGCCAGGAACCTCCCGCAACCAGGGATTTTATTTTTATTTTTTTGTTATTAGCTGTGACCACCCTTTTAATATTTATGATGATGTTTTAAATTTTAATGTTATTACATTAACTACTATAGTTGTATAAATGATATGCTGTTACCTGCCCTGAGCCCACTTCTGGGAACGGCGGGCTATAAATGTGAATGAATGAATGAATGAATGAATGAATGAACGAACGAACCCAAGCATTTCAATAGATTGGGCACTAAAGCAGTTAGGCCAGCGAAGACGGACGCCCACCGGCTCACCCGAAGGCACACGACACTTGATTCCTTGTCCCTTGATGGGACGAGAGCCCACCCACACATTCTGCAGAATGAGGTGGTGGGTCGCTTGAGCTGGTGTTCAAACTGCAGGTCCTTGTGTCACGGGCTGCTCCCCTGTGTGCAGAACGCCATACGTGTAGCAGCAGGAGCCCCATTGGGGAGATGACGGCTGAAATAGTCTCTCATTTTGTGCAAGACGGGAGCATTCGGTTGCCCCCCACCCCATACACACATCCCTGTAGCAAGAAATGGGGCAATCGAGAATTCTCCTGCCCCATTCTGTTTTATCTGCAGGCCGGCTGTGGCTCCACAAAAATCGGGTGCTCTTGAGGTTGCTACTCTGTGGGTTGGTTCACACAGCCCACATGCATTTTCCTGACCTTGCTCACATAATGCATGGATGATGGATGTTGTGAGCAGTAACCCTGATTAGAAGCCCTTTTTTGGGTGGGTGTATCTGCCAATTGGACATGTGGTGTTGCTCCATCTGTGTGCAAACCTCAGGACCATCGTGGGAAGGAGAAATCTATTCTTGTCCATGAAACTTTTTGGCAGTCTCAGACTCTGCTTCGAGCACACTGAAGCTGCCACTCTAGAACCATTGTCGACATTCTTGCCAAAAGAGAAGAAAGAGAGAGACTGCGTTTATACCCCGCCCTTCACTACCCCAAGGAGTCTCAGAGCAGCTTACAATCTCCTTTCCCTTCCCCTCCCCACAACAGACACCTTGTGAGGTAGGTGGGGACTGAGAGAGCAGCTCTGAGAGAACTTGTAACTGACCCAAGGTCACACCAGCAGCTGTATGTGGAGGAGTGGGGAATCAAACCCAGTTCTCCCAGTTCAGAGCTCCGCTCCTAACCACTACACCAAACTGGCCCGCACATTTTGCTCCCCTGTGTGCAGAACGCCACATGAATGTCACGGGACTACTTCCATCTGATGCGCTGTGCATGGGGTCACACAGGATTTTATGACTCGGAACAGCCTTCCCCGGAGGCTGCATTAATTCTCAGCGAGATGACGACTGTATTCCATCTTGCCTTTATCAGGTTGACGTCTTGATGCCCAACGTTGGCGAGATCGTCGGAGGCTCGATGCGTATTTGGGACAGCGAAGAGCTGCTGGCTGGGTACAAGAGGGAAGGCATTGACCCTACGCCGTACTACTGGTACACAGACCAGGTGCGTAGGATTGTGTGTTGGTGGCTTTATGTGTTTGCTGTTGCACGACGTAGTGTAGCTGGAAAGCAAAAGCCAGATCAAGACAGAAATGTGCAACTCGTGTTTAGAGATGCTTTCTAACCACAAACCTACCTTGGGTGTTGCAAGTAATGGAAAATTTTGCGTGCTTAGCATGTAACAAAAGAGCAGGAGGTTGGAGCAGGGATGAAAATTGTGATCTCAGGTCACTGTGACCATCTTGGAAGAACTGGATTACTCACATCCAGCAGAGCCCACCAAGCTGAATGGAAAAATAAAGCCCAAATGAGACTGTTGCCCCCCGCCCCCGGGGGGGGGGTCATTCAAAAGTGCACGGCTTGCAAGAAGTACTTCAGATGCTCAGGCTGCTGTTCAGCTCCAACACTGCGAGCTGGGATATGTGCTTCGATCAGTCAACAAACTCGTAGTCAAGAGAGAGAAGAGAAGAGATTGGGTTTATACTCTGCCCTTCACTACCCAAAAGAGTCTCAGAGCAGCTTACGATCTTCCCTTCCTCTCCCCGCAACAGACGCCCTGTGAGGCAGGTGGGGCTGAGAGAGAACAGCTCTGAAATAACTTGTGACTGACCCAAGGTCACACCAGCAGCTGCATGTGGAGGAGTGGGGGAATTAAACCCGGTTCTCCCAGATTAGAGTCCGTGCTCCCAACCTCTACACCAAACTGGCTCTCAGATTTCTGGTGGCCCTGAGAACTCCCCTAACAGAGGGCATCCATTGCGTCTCTGTGTGATTGACTTTCGGGCCTTGCCTCCGTACAGCTGACTTCTGTGAGCTACTCTGTTGTGTTTTCTGTACTGGGTGAGAATGAAGTTGTGTAGCCCTGGGCAAGATTCATCTCGGTCTCGGACGTGCCACTGTGTCTGCTCCGAGGTGCCCTTTCTTGGGTGGTGGGAGGCTGCCACAAGACAGGTGGAGTTGACAGTCCTTATGCTCCTGCCGTCTCTAATAACGTTTTCCCCTCTCCTTTTGGCTTCGCAGCGTAAGTTTGGCACCTGCCCTCACGGAGGCTACGGTTTGGGCTTGGAAAGGTTTCTGACCTGGATTCTGAACAGGCACCACATCCGGGACGTGTGCGTCTACCCACGCTTCGTCCAGCGTTGCAAGCCCTAGTCAAGATCTTCTGGACAAACTCTAACCTAGCAAAACCCCGTCCCGGAAGAATTAAAGAATGCATTTCATCCTCCTACGATCTGTGTTCAGGCAAGAACCATGAATCATCTCCTTTTCTCAGAAGAAAATGTCTCTGCAGCTGGTGTTAAATTGAAGTCCGGGGACTTTCAGGACCGCTTACCTCCTGGCCAGTCCCCCTTGAGATCTGTGCTTATTCATTGCCCTAGATTGATTTCTAGTCTAAACTCTTCTTCCTGTTATATGTACAAGAATCAGGGTATTTTGTTACCTTCAAACGAAAGGGGCTGGATTTGGGAACCTGATTTTTGGTTTGGTGGAATATCGATAAATAGTGGAATATTTGCATTTTTCCACAAACGTCAGATTGTACTGTAATGCAAAATCATACGAATTAGAGTGTTTAGAAGGCATTGCATCGACTAGTAAAGAGTAGCTCGACTGGCAAGGAATGAGCTTGGGTTCAATCTTAACCTCCTCTCTCAAAATACATTTTTTTAGTGTATACTCTTAAAGGAAGAGGGGAGGATTCACTGTACATGTAACTCTACCCCAAAGAAACTCTCCCAATATGCATTAGGAACACGTAGCTCTGAAACTACCTAGCCGTAGTTACAGTAGTCTGTTGTGGCTATATGTACAGCTGTCTTTAGGGTGTGAGGCAGGGGTCCACAACCTTTTTGAGGCCATGGGCACCTTTGGCATTTCCAGAGGTGGTGAGCACCACTTCAAAATGGCTTCCGTGGGAGGCGGAGCCAACCCCCACATATCTCCCGTGGGGGTCAGAGCTAAACGCAGTGCCTCCCTCCTCGCACATCCCGGGAAGATGGAAATCCTGAAATGGGAAATGGACCGACTTGGGAAAGCCCACTTGCTTACCAGTCCTCCTGACCTCCACTGGGAAACTCTCTCATTTGGATGAAGGAAGCCAATAATAAGCCCAGCTTTACAATGGCCCAACCCAGTTTCTGGAAAGCTCAGCGGGTGCCAAGGAAAGTACTGGGGGGGGGCCATGGTGCCTACGGGTGCCATGTTGGGGAACCCTGCTTTAAGATATACCCCAGCTGTGAAGGCGCAAGGTATATTTGGGACGTCTAGGAAACGAGACTGAGTATTAAGCAACGGAAGAGGGACTGCAGTATACTGGAAGGAAGTGGATGTATTCCTCAGAGCGCTTGCTGCTGCATTTTGCAGCATCGCTTTGCTGTACACTCGCTTTGAAATGAGCCACCAAACTAATCAGCGTGGCTTTCCCGCCAGGGATCATGGGAGCTGCACTTTCAGGGAGGCACTTTCTTGATCTATAATTTCCTGGGCTGGGGAGAGGAGGGGCAGCCGAATTGTGTGGGAGCTGCAGTTTCAGGGAGGCACTTTCTGTGTCTTGCCGTCTGGCTTGATCTATAATTTCCTAGGCTGGGGAGAGGAGGGGCAGCCGAATTGTGCCGCTGATTGTAATGAATGGCCTTTTTTTGTTGTTGTTGTTGTTGCCGTTCCTCTTCTTGAGTTTGAGGACCCTTGTTCTGAAACAGCAGAGTGGTTGGGAGGAACAGGCCACTAGTAATTGGTGTCCTCTGACGTCTTTTCCTCAGGACCTAAGCTCAGCAGCTTTCCTCTCGCCTCTCTCTCTCTTTCGAACTTGACATACTTGTAACAATTGTGCATGTCTAATCTGGCACCAAATAAATTCATGGATTGTGGGTAACCGTTCTTCCTGACTTGTCCCAAAGTCGCACGTTACCGTTTCTTTACATTTCTACAAATAAAGGGGGTGTCTGCAGCTCTCGGGGATGGTGGTTCTGCTAACCACGGGCCAGATGCTCGCTCTGCTGTCAGCCCGGCTGCCCACACAAAACAAGCAAGGAATTGTGGGCCGTGCAGTGATTGGTACAAGCATCAAACCCTCAGCATCAGGCGGGGGGTGGGGTGGGTGCCATTGTGTTCCTGATTAGTTGTTAACTGAAGTATTAAGAGGACAGAGGAAGTTCTGATTTACAGCAAAGTAGTGGTTCAAGACGCTGAACTGCAGACTGGAAGGTTCAAGGCCCAAGTGCCGCATGACGGAGTGAGCTCCCATCTCTGGCCCCCGTTTCCTGCCAGCCTAGCAGTTCGAAAGCAAGAAATTGCAAGTAGATAAATAGGTACCACTTCAGTTGGAAGGTAACAGCGTTCCGTGCGCCTCGGTGTCTAGTCACACCGCCCACATGACCACGGAAACGTCCTTGGACAGCGGCTCTTCGGCTTGGAAACGGAGATGAGCATCGCATCCCTAGAGTCGGATTCGACTGGCTTTTGAGCGAGGGAAACCCTTTATCTAACATTCCTTAGGAGGTCATTAACCTGACAAAAGGACATTTGGCTGCTAAAC